CCTTCGACCATTTTTCTTCATCATGCCATCGATGACGTCATAAAACACTGCTCCACACGTCACCCGTCAGATCTACCGCGCACATGCCCATATTCTCGGACGTCTAGGTGAGGACAAAATCCAAGACAACCAGACAACCTAAAGTTACCTTGTTTTCTTCCGCTGAAATTGTTACCTTTCTTTCCGCCCGCCTTTAATTTGGACACGTCCGCAATCTCAAATTCCAATTTTGCCACGACCTTATTGGCATAAAACACAGATTTAGCACAAACAGTTGGATCGACGGTACCGTAGTCTTTTCGTGTAAGTCTATACTTTTGCCAAAACTTTCTGTTTTTTTTTTTTTTTTGCCAAGATCGCATCAACACAAGATTAGCATGATATCGGCTTTCCCGCACCATCGAGTACAAACGATTTCATATTCGGTGTAAGTTTTCCCAATTTCAGGTTTCATCTCGTTCGGTAAGGAACCGTGCATGCAATTCTCTTTTGGAAAACATTCGAAATGGAACTCTGTTTTCTTCTGCAACCTGCTATCTCTTATTTCTTTATGGTACATAGTATGGCTTCTTGGTTAGGTAAGTTGTAGAAGTGAAGACCAAAATACTTTCTTCTTCTGCTGCTGCTAATGACTTAGGAATGGAAATAAATCAAGCTATCATTCGGTCGTTTGGTTTCGACTCGATTTTTTCGGTTCGAGCAACTTAAAAGTTCAATCTAATCTATGAATAATTTTATTTGGACGGAGCAGCTCGTAAGCACAATAAAAAAATAAAATGAATCTTTTTGCAGAGATTTCGTTTGGAAAGCAACCGACCGAAACGCCATAATATAAAATACTGAGAGAGATAATTGATATTTTTGAAACTTGAACATTTACTTAGCAAATATACTCGACAAGTAATCCGAGAACACTAATTGGTGTCACCTATTTCCAAACAAAAATTAAAAGAAGAACACATATCAATTAATTCAATTTTCACTATCCTTTGCAAAGTTGAATTCAAGCAAATAATCTTAGTACTCAGTAAACACTTCCATAATTACAATTTAATGCAGGGTAAATGACACAAACGGTCTTTGAACTTTGGTTCAATGTGTAATGTGATCTCTAAACTTTAAATTTGTTCAATGTGATCCGTAAATTTTAGTCTAATGTGCAATATCGTCAATTAACTTATAATTCAATGTGGTTCATGGACTTTTGATACATGTTCAATTTAGTCATTATTCAATGGCTAAAATGAGTATGTGTCAATAATCCAGGGACTATATAAAATAAATTAAAAATTCATGAACGATATTACATATTAAGTTAAAATTCAGGAATCATGTGGTATATTTGAAGATTAATTGTATCATTATCCTTTTATACCTTTAGATTACGTACGAGAGAGACATAAGATGAAGCCACTCCGCCTCATCGTCATGATTGCCGTACACGTGTCCCTGTTCCTTATCCCAATCACCTTATCCTCTGCCCGAGGATAATGGTACTTATGTCGAGTGGATTGCGGCAATCAAAAGGCATCTTCAAGGTGCCCCCGCAATCAGAGAATTTGCGAAATGATTCTGCTAATGACAAGTGTCCGGCGAGAGGCAATGATTATATCATCCTTCGGAGGACACGAATCTCCGGGCGATCTCTCTCGTGACTCGTCACATGCGCCTCCTAAGCCTGTCGCATTATTAGATTTAAGCCCTGCGGAAAGAGCAAAGGAGAAGACAACGACGCACTCCTCGCCTTTTCCGAATAATCACGTGTTAGCAGCCTCGCCACTTGCTTTGTCTTTGGCCTCTTATTCTTCTTCAGTATCTGATCCTAATAGTGGCACGGACCAAGTCACTCCACGATTCGAAAGCTTATGGATCACTTTACAAGGTCATCGGCACGTGCCAAAGACTCCGACCCATAACAACTTGCGTGCAACTGATGGAATTTGAACGTAAACATCTAATACGCCAAATCGTCTTTCTTAAGTAAGAATTGGGTTCTCTAGCAGATACCGGTGGTCATAATGTGGCGTCACGGATCGATCGCCTTTACCCCACATGCCAAGAGTCCGCTCGCTTGGCGACATGTGTGTATGCATCTTGGTTTTGATTAGTCATTTACGCCAAGTGTGATTGTTGCATGATGTATTCGTCACGTATAACGCGTTCTTCATGTTAGAAAGGTATTGGATCTAAATCGATGTAGAGTTAATCTGACAAATAGGGATTGGGAAAACAAACGAAAGCCCGTTCTTGGTTTCAACTCGATAACAAAGTGATCAAAGTTTCACCAAAAAACGTTTTTTGAAAATGGATCGAGTGTGGATGTATGTGTAAAGGGCGTGCCCGCTCTTCAAATCAAAATATTACGTAGAAAATGCTAGTCGATCTAATTCTAGATTTGGGAATTATCCTCTCCCGATCTAAATTTGCGAGTTTAATAAATATGCTTTCGGGGATTCCATACTCATGTGCTCTCTCCGTGCATAAGTCCTTAATGGTGATTGTAGGAGTTCTGACGTCTTGCTAAACCATGAAGATTTGCTCTTTCAAATATTAGATATGTGTTTGTTTAACATGTTTTAGTTGTCTCTGTACGGCGAAAATATAGAAGAAGCTGAACCTAGGCGCGCATGGCAAACTTGCCGTATTTATCGGAGAATGAATTTCTAGCGAATGCTCATCACTGACGAAGATACGAGATTCAGTAATCGGCCGTTGATTATTTTGCTTGACGGATCCATTCTTGTGGAACAAATGTGTGCCTTACACAACTGGTGCTTTGTTGATCCTCCTTATTTTTTGAATTTGACTTTGTTTTACAGTATTCTAGGTGTTGTTCTGTTTTGTCTGCTCCGTTATGAAATTTATGTACTTTATATTCTCTTTTTTAAGTAATGAATACAATTTCTTTCAACAAAAAAACATAATAGTTAAAACTGAAATCAAAGTACATTGCTTCGAAAGGACAATGCTTCGTAGGAAAATTGGTATAGTTTCGACATAGTTTGAGCGACTCTTTTCTCTTGGTGTTTTTTCATATTCATGCTCCTCGGGTTTTCTCTAACGGTTACGTGAAGAATCCTTCCTCGTGCATTGGTCGATGTTTCCATGATTTCCTTCGTTTTCCACTATTTTACTAACTCCCATGGCCATCGTGCATTTTGCAACAACTGCCTCTTCTAGTACAAGCCAATTCAACTTTATAATTGCTCCCATTCTCGTTCAAAAAGATCAAAGGCCATCTTTCTCTCCTTTGGGCGAGATATTCATTAACATGCTTCAGGTCAGAGCGAAGTGAAGCAAGCCTCATATCGAAATTAGGAGAAAAATGCCAAAAAAGTCCTAAATCTTTTGCATTAGTGTCAATTTAGTCCTAAACCTTTTTTTGGTGCCAATTCAGTCCTAAACCTTTTGCATTGGTGCCAATTTAGTCCTAAACCTTTTTTTGGTGCCAATTAAGTCCTAAATCTTTTAAATTGGTGCCAATTCAGTTCTAAATCTTTTGTTTTTGTGCCAATTTGGTCATTCCGGCCAATGTTGACCGGAATTTGCCGACATGGACGCCGGCCGGCAGGCGGCCGGTCACCGGCGCGGACGTGGACAACTTTAATAATATTTTAATATTTTTTTGAATTTTTATTTTTTTTCCTTTTTTAAATATTTTTTTGTCTTTCCCTCCTTCCTCTGGCCGGTTGCCGGTCCGGCGACCTGCCAGAGGCCAGAGGCCGGCGAGCTCGACCTCGCCGCCACTGGCAAGGGCGGCCTCGCCCGGCGAGGGCTCGAGTCTCGCCACGATGTGGCGAGGCTCGAGCCCTCGCCGGAGGCCGCGGCGAGGGCGAGCCTCGCCATGGTCGGTCGAGGCCCGACCTCGTCCGGATCTCGGCGAGGTCGGCTAGGCGAGGCTCGACCTCGCCGGATCCGGCGAGGTCGGGCCTCGCCCGACCATGGCGAGGCTCGAGCCCTCACGGAGGTCTCGGCGAGGGCGAGCCTCGCCATGGTCGGTCGAGGCCCGACCTCGCCGGATCTCGACGAGGTCGAGCCTCCCGACCAAGGCGAGGCTCGAGCCCTCGCCCGGAGGCACGCGGCGAGGGCTCGAGCCTCGCCTTGGTCTGGCGAGGCTCTACCTCGTCAGATCTGGCGAGGTCGGGCCTCGACCGACCATGGCGAGGCTCGCCCTCGACAGTGGCTGGCGAGGTCGAGCTCGCCGGCCTCTGGCCTCTGGCCGGTCGCCAGACCGGCGACCGGCCAGAGGAAGGGGGAGAGACAAAAAAAAAGTGGAAAAAAAAAGAATAAAAAGGAAAAAAAAATAAAAATTCAAAAAATATTAAAATATTATTAAAGTTGTCTACATCGGCGCCACGTCGGCGTCCACGTCGGCAAATTCCGATCAAAATTGGCCGGAAGGACTAAATTGACACCAAAACAAAAAGTTTATGACTGAATTGGCACCAATTTAAAAGGTTTAGGACTTAATTGGCACCAAAAAAAGGTTTAGGACTAAATTGGCACCAATGCAAAAGGTTTAGGACTGAATTGGCACCAAAAAAAGGTTTAGGACTAAATTGGCACTAATGCAAAAGGTTTAGGACTTTTTTGGCACTTTTCCCTCGAAATTAGACCGGTTGAACTCGATGTGACGTGACCATTTATACGTCGCTCTACTTCCTGAAATAAACCCAGGCATCTTTGCATACTTCGGACGTGGATATATGATTGGATTCGTCTCTTTGGAAAGTGAATACGTAACATGTCTTAGGTTTGGAGTTTGTCTCTTAGGCTGAAGATTCGCGATTGTCGGTTAGAAGCAGTATCATTTCTAGTAGGACTACCGTGTCTGGACCAAAGAAAGGTCCCGCAGGCACAAACCTAGTGACATATATGCACGTAGACATATGGCTGTACTTGTCGCTTTCCATGGGAACTGGTTTAGCCGACATTGTTGTTGGAAGATATGCGATATCATTTGCATTGAGATTGATATGCAAGCATCAAGTGGGATTGGATTTGATTTGTAGAATATTTTATTTCCATTATTCATTTACGCATTGTATTATAAATGTGTACATCGTGTATCGAACAATACATAGAAAATATACATTGAATTTTCTCTCAAAGCCATCTCTCCTTGTCTTCGGTCTTGCTTTCTTTCATGGTATCAGAGCGACTTCGCTCCTGATTTAGCTTCCGCAAGTCCTAAACGATTGTCTGCCGAGAATTTGGACCTGAAAAAAACAAGGTACCCTCCTGGCAAAGGAATCAAAATTTTTTAAGTAGACGAAGAAAGGCTATACACTTATCTCCCCATGAATCAGAAACAACCATCAACTTTCGATTAGACTCCCACAGAAGAGGTCACTGATCAACATCCCTCGGAGGAGGTCACCCCACAAATCTCACAGACTCTGGACCCACAGACTATGGGTTCCCATTTTTTGGCAACCCTTTCAGGCTCAGACAAACATGGGGCAGCTCCTACCGGGCCCACCCATTGTGGACCAGCCAATCGGGGACCACCCTTACCAATGGATACCGAGTCCATGGTACCTTGGGCCAAGCCTAAATGCATCATTGCCTGGGGTGGGCCAAGCGAATGTGCAGCCCAACAGCGGCCCACCAGCCGCAAGTGGAGCAAGCCCAACCGAAGGGTCTGGACCAGTCAATGCGGAGGTATCAATCGGGTCAGGAAACCAGGTATGGGTCCAAATCCCTACCCGATTCTGCCTCCTGGCTATTTGCCGTATCCGATGGCGGCTATCACTGGCCGACCAGAGCCTGGTGACGCTCTCTATGTCTCCGCCGCCAATGGACTGGAGTTGCAGCTTATTAGCCACTATCTCACGGGATCTGGAAACTACTCAATCTGGGCATTGGAATTCCGACGGGCTCTTGTGACAAAGGACAAAGACAGATTCATCGACGGATCTGTCCCGACCCTGACTGACGAGAGAATGGCGAGACAATGGAGAAAATGCAACCAGTACGCCAGAACGTGGATCGGGAACTGTATAAGCCTAGAAATCGCGGTCGGACTCTCCCCCCCTCCCCACAGAAGATGCAAAAAACATATGGGATAATATAAGAGAAATGTACGGGAAATTAGATCGTGCAAAGATTTTTTCCCTCACCCAGGAGCTTTTAGAGCTAAAGCAGGAGAATATGAGCATAACCGCCTGCTTTAACAAGCTATTGGCTCTCTAGAACGAGCTGGAATCAGTCGAGGAAAAGCTCGAGAGGCTCGAAACCACGTTACAACAGTATAGGGTGATAAAAGATAGGGAGAAAGTCACACGATTTCTTTTGATTTTAAGCGAATCCTACCTTACCTTTAGATCGCAGATCCTCGCCATGGACTCGGTGCCGCTGCTCGGACGCATTTTTCAGCTGGCGGTACAGGAAGAGAGCCAACGACTTGTCTCGCTGGAGCATGCAAGGGGAGCGGAAAGCATCGCCCCTGCGACCCGCGACGATCGTGGCGAATCGGGTTCTAGAACCCTAGATCGAGAGAAGGAGCATCGAGGGTTAGTGGGCAATGACCTGCAGCAACCTAAAGGAAGTGGGATGGACGGTGGAGATTGCAGCTTGCGATCTGATGACTGGAAAGGCACCAATTCTTTAATGGAATCGGACAGTGGGCAGCAAGCCCATCCGAAGGCATCCAACGGCCCAAATTTTTCGGGTGCACAAAAATTTTATGGGCAAAATTTAAAAGGAAAATTTTTTTGTGAATATTGCAGGTGGCCCCATCACACAATCAACAACTGCTGAAAATTGCATGGTAAACTCGGGGAAAAAGGAAAGAAAGGAAAAGAATCCTCGGCTGCATCTTATCAAGTCATTGGTTTGAACAATGATTAGCCCATCACATATGGACAATATCAACAAATTATGCAGGCATTACAAAAATTAGACACTTCCAACAGGGGAAGTAGTTTTTCAGGTATTACTCATTGCCTGAGAAATTCTATTTCCAGAAATGCTTGGATAATTGACTCAGGGGCAAGCGACCATATTATCTGCGATAAGGGATTATTCTCCATTATTCATAAAAATTAAATATTTATCTCTGTGAAATTGCCGAATGGGAATGTTACTCATGTCACTACGATAGGGACAGTGAATCTTAGTTCTTAAATCACACTCAGAAATGTCATTTATGTCTCAAACTTCTAGTTCAACCTCATATATGTGTCTAGAGCCTGTGAAGAAAATTCTTGTTGAATTTTTTTCAATGCTTATACTTGTTTCTTACAGGCCCTTTCGACTGGCAGACTGATGGGCTTGGGTAGTTTCTCTGAAGGATTATATTTTTGGACCAGCTTTCCTAGAAATTGTGATTTATCATGCATTTCTTTTAATAAACAATCATTGTGTAATTCGATTGTCAATGATAAAAATTTCCTTGTGCATTCCAGAATGGGGCTTAATGCCTTATTTCCTTATTCTCAGGGTCATATTTGCCCACTTGCAAAACAATCTCGTACACCTTTTCCCCTTAGCAAGAGCCGTGGTACCGATATTTTTTCCTTAATTCACATTGATGTGTGGGGGCCATATCACACACCGAACCATGATGGATCTCAGTTCTATCCGACGCATCCGAACAGATAATGGAAGGGAATTCTTTAACCGTGAGTGCGACACTTTTTTCTCATCTCATGGAATTTTACATGAAAGCTCATGTATTTACAGCCCACAACAAAATGGGGTGGTTGAAAGAAAACACTACCATCTCTTGGAGATAGCACGGGTGTTAAAGTTTCAAGCTTCTATCCCGGAAATTTTTTGGGGAGATTGCGAGATAATAGCGGCTTATTTGATTAATCGGATGCCATCAAAGGTACTCAACGGACATTTGCCATTTGAGCCCCTATTTGAGAAAAGGCCAGATCTGGACCATTTGCGGATTTTCGGATGCTTATGTTACGCCACTTCTACGGGCCCTCGGAAAAAGTTGGGTCCTCGTTCCCGGCGATGTATATTTATGGGATACCCGAATCTACAAAAGGGTTATCGTCTTTTTGACCCATTAACAGGAGAATTTTTTGTAAGTAGGGATGTTGCATTTCACGAAAACACTTTTCCTTTTGAAAGTAACTCCTCCAAGGAAGATGTAGGGGTCAAAAGCGCTCCTCGTATTTTTCCCACTGAAGAGGAGGATTAAGAGATCCCACCTATGTTCCGACTATTAAAGGTTCTCCAATACCTGTCATAATTTCTACTGACGATACTTTTCCGTCAACAGCATTGGAACCAGTGGAGGACGATGCGTCCATTGAAGATATTCCAACACACGCACCAGAACCATATGACGAGGAATTATCAACTCTTATGGAGGAAACTTCACCCTCTGTCACGCCCCGTACCCCACGAAGCGCGAGCATCCCACCTCCGGTCGTGTGTGAGGCAACGCTCCCAGGATGCGTCGCCAACCCAACACCCAATCAGAGATAAGGCACATGCGGAACAACGTATATAAATATATATACACCCGTACAAAACAACACACTTGAGACCAAGGTAAAACAGCCATCAAACAAGAATATACACTTGTACTATTATAGTAAAAACCCTTGTTACACTATCCTTATGAACAACTCCAAAAAACCTACAGCAGTCAACTGCCACTATAACAAAAAGGGTAAGTGGCACCGATGGTTAGGCTAACTAGGGTAGGATCGCCATTCAAAAAGAGACGGTCTTTGCTTCCCAGGGTACCGGCCTGCTCTAGGGCTCCCAGTCAGGGTCTGAGGACTCCGATGAATCGCCCGATGGTTCCTCTGAAACTCCTCTGAATCCATGGCTTGTGCTCGCTCATCCTCGGCTACGATCCTCTCGTCCTCCGAATCTAGCTCTAACTCTGGGTCCAGATAAAGACCTAACTCGTCATCTTCCTCAGCTCCTATCTCCACATCGGACCCTACCTCGGCGACCTCTCCAATTTCTTCCTCATCATCTATGTCCATGTCTGCGAGTTCCTCTTCCTCGTCTTCGAGCTGATCAGGATCTTCGGCGATTACTTGAGGCTCCCCATGCATGGGCTCATCCACGCCGTCTACGTCATACACATCCTGGGGATTGACTATCTCACCATCAGCCATTCGTGGAATCATCAATCCATCTTGGTCGACCGGCACATCAAAAGTCCTATGGGGTTGCCCTAGGTTTCCGTCTGCATCTCGTAAGCACCATGCCACGTACTCCTGGGTCTGATGAAAGTACTTTCCCACGTTTATAAACACCACGGACCGGTATCTTACGTATGATTCCCCATTTCCTGCGGGGTAGGTACTAGTATACTGGTGTATCTGTACAGGTATTCCAAAAAGCGGCGGATTAGGCATCTTTACGGCTGGGGGTCTGAAAAGTTTTGATTTACACAACCGTGAGACGAATCTCAATGAGTTCAACCCCTAAACCTAGGCTAGGCTAGCATGCAATCTCTTAACCGGAAACAAATATTTGAAATCATAATGCAACAACAATCAAATAATTCTCTAACCCTGCAGGTTAGGCAATTCAATATATAATAACCACGGCACGTACGTGGCACACATTATCACACGTATGCCAATCATATGCTCATGCACCGAGTCTCACACACTCGCATGCCAGTCCATGCATGTTCATGCCTGCAAATGTCGTCGACATATCACGTGCATTTCCCGGCTCACTGGCCCACACTGGCAATCGTCCAATTTATTATTTATTACGACTCGAGTCAACAACATTCACGGCTCGGTGCGTCTAGCCTGCTTCAAAGTGCATGGGGCGCAGCAACCGATCTGGCCCAGTGTCTCTAGCCTGCTTCAAAGTGCATGGGGCGCAGTAACCGATCTGGCCCAGTGTCTCTAGCCTGCTTCAAAGTGCATGAGGTGCAACACTGATCTCCTTACGAACCAGCAGCCTGCTTCAAAGTGCATGAGGATGGTCGTCTTCCGGACGTACCGGGCATCGTCCTGCTTCAAAGTGCATGAGGACGGTATCGATCCGAAGGTCACGACCCGAAGGTCTTTAGGTGATCACACAACTCATGGCAGGCACGCATTCTCGCACAATTTCCCCACATGCCTCACACTAGGCATACATAATGCGTGTCCATGTTATGCAATGCAATGCACCATGAGCACCAATGAAATTCAAACACTCAATATCACAACACGTGCTCAATTGGCCCAATTAGTATCGTGTGGCCCAATGTGCGATTCACAATTCAATAATTAATTGCAAGCCAAACAGTGGCCAGTCGCACTCCACAAAAATCAGCCACCCAACATGCGACATAGCAGTACTCAATCAATCACAATTAAGCACGAATTACATACATTCAGTCAACCCGGACATACCCGGCAATTCCACCAATGGCCTCCTAAATTGGCCAATCAATCCAATTACTCTCCCCAATAAATTCTCATTGATCCACTACATTTTTCCCGATAATAATTCCTACCAATCGGTACACTAATTCCTCTCAGCATGTACTAGTATTCCTAAATCAGTCCAGAAAAATGCACTATCAGTCCTAATCCGGGTTTAGGAATTTTACTCACTTAATCCAAGGTCACGACGATGAGGAATGGCGGCTGATCACTGGTGAACAGTGGAACCGGCGGCGGCGTTCCCGGCGACGGCGTACGGACGGCGGCGTACGGACGGCGACGTACGGACACCCCCGTACGGACACCGTACGAACGGTGGTGAACAGTGACGTACGGACGTTGGGGACGTCACAGTGGCAGCAGCTCGGCCATACGAGCTCCGGCGCGGCGGCGGTGCTAACCCGGGAGAGAAAAAGGGAGAGAAAGAGAGAGAAAGAGAGAGAGAAAGGGGTCGGACAGAGGCGAGGCTGAGGCTAGGGACTGAGGTGGTCGACGGCGGGGCACGGTGGCCGGCGGCGGTGCTCCGGTGGCCGGCGGCTTGCTCTGGCAAGGCCTAGCCGAGAGAGAGAGAGAGAGAGAGAGAGAGAGAGAGAGAGAGAGAGAGAGAGAGAGAGAGAGAGAGAGTGATCGGGAGGAGAGAGAGAGGTCTGGCCGAGAGTGAGAGTGAGGAGAGAGAGAAACAAATTTAATTTGGTCAAATTTTAGGGTCTAGGGTGCCAAGTGTCACAAATCTAGCCCAAAATGACCATTTTGCCCCTCATCCAATGGTCACCATTAAATCTTATCCAATAATTCAAGGTCATTTTGGTCCTTTGCTGCAATAATTAGGATAAGTCCAATTTTAATTAATTTCCTTAATTATCCCCCAAAATTCGGAACCAAAAATAGCCTAGGGGCAAAACCGTCATTTTTCCGGTCCCGGGGCGAAGCTCCATTTTTCGCCCGTACCAACCCTCCATGTGCGTGGGCAACACAATGTGGTGTCGGAATCGCGAAAACAGCCCTTTAAGCCTTCGAAAATCGACTGCAA